AATGAATAAGATCCTCAAGTGTTGGTGAGGTTTTAAAAAATCTAAAATTCGACGCTCTTAGGTGATTCACATCAGTGCCTGGTGGGATCAGTAATATGCATCCTTTAAGGACCATTATGACATGCCGTTTTGGGTCGAGGTGACAAATACTACTTTATAAGTAGTAGTAGATGCTCAGCGAGGTCATGATGTAAAAAGTCGAGTATAAATATACCAAGAGGGGTTTCCATATGGCTTTGTAGTGTCGTGTGTGTGTGTGTGTCCATATGCATGTGTACGATATAATGTGTGAAAAATCTAGGCCTGTGGGGCTGGTGAGCTTAGGCTAGGATGGAATTGTCGCCTCGCTTCCGGGGCTCTGAGTGTGGGCACATTCAGGTTGGGTGGCTGCAACCGGCGGTAACTAGTATAAGCTCCTGGCGAATTGTTGGCAGCGTATACCTCATCCTCCTCTTCTTCTTTTTGCACAAAATCTATGTTTATATGGTTCCTGGTTGGCTGCCGGTCCGAACTGCTGTTCCCTAAGATAATTACTTCGTCCTCCCGACGACAAGATGGCTTATTTTTTTGAGAAAAAGAGTATACAAACCCATTATCTGGCCCTCGCAACAGCCTTTGGTAGAACTGTCCGAGTCTCTTCTTCTCGGCTGAATTGTCCTTGCATACTTTTTGATTTAGCTCTTCGCTTCCCTGTTCCAAGCCCCTTTCATAAACGTCGTCGTCATCATCACTTTGAGTCAATGGTAGGAAGCCGTCTCGTTGCGCAGAGCCCCTCAGCCAATGACGCGCAGTGAACCGGGAGGCCTGACCGCCTCCAAATGATGCTGATCCCATTCCAGAAGCTCCGGGGTTCGTAGTTGTTTGGGCTTTGTGAATCGGAGTCATTAGAAAGTTGACTTGTCTTCGGCGACACAGTGACAGGCAGGCGCAGAAACCGGCCATGAAGATGATGAGCAGACTAAGAACAAGGATGAGGATGCCGAGAGTGTAGGAGGGCATGTCGAGCAGCGTCTGTCTAGCACTGCGCCAGAGCCCGGCATTGACGATGTCGCCTATACTGGAACCGTCTAAAGGGTCAGTAGAGAATGGGCAAAACTTAAGTTCGGCATCCGGACAAAAGAAGGAATGGGCT